AGGAGATTATTATGTCAAATTAAGGATGCTAGTCTCTCTCTGCACTGCATCCTTTTATCGAAAGTTTAACTTTTAAAGTATGTACTTGTGTTTTCCAAGTCTGGTAATAATTGGATAATAGCCATTACTGAAAGAAAACTTGATGAGTGGTAGATCTTATCTTCTTAGCACTTCTCCTTCCTGACCTCCAGTTTATCCTTCATGGGGCTCCCCAAAAGAATGTTCTAAAGGTCTTATAGCTGATCAAAATGCCGGGGATAAGTGACTATTGAATGCTCAGCCTTCAACAAGACATCTCTATTACCCCCTCCAAGGAATTGGAAAGATTGTAAGAGCCAGAGGACGAGGAGGAGCATTGTGAGATACACTCTTCAGTATATTACGTGGCTGTTGCTGTCATGCATACACCACAGCTGTGACTATCTGCACAAGAGCAGCACCACACAAGACACAGAATTAGGAAGAGAATATTGGGAAGAAGAGGGAGTCAGCAGGAGTGGGGGGAGATAAGGTAGAGTGATGGGGTGAATGTGATCACAGTACATTGTATACATGCATGAAACTGTCAAAAATAATAAAAAAAATACATAGAATATAGGATAATATCATGATATATATATATTTAATTTTAATATATTCCCAAACGTTTTCAAAAATTATATATAAAACCCTGAATGAAGTCTGAAGAATAAATATCTTTTCTTGATTCAAAAGAAAGTTCTAAAATTTAAGTCACAGCCTGTCCATTTATTTAGTCTTTCAGTGACATCCCATACACATGCAGTTTTCAGACTAACATTTGGACTCCTATTCCTGCCGTTCAGGGACTGACTCCTAACTTTCTTTCTGCCACTTGTCCATCCTCTTGTCTTTCATGCCTTTGTAGGCATGCATTTCTAAAATTGCCTTTACCTTTTTCTTCGTTCTAGTAAGTTCTATTGCCTTTTACAAATCAGAATACCCACCACCACCACCAGTCTCTTCTTCCTGCCCATCAGATGGCCATACACCTCCTCCTTTGTCCCGTCCAGGTGTCATTCACGGTTCTCAAGTGTGTGTTTTCTTCCTGAAGCTCCCAGTTCCTGCAAGAGCCAGAGGTAAGCAGGAATGGTGCCTTATGGGAATTTTTTCAATTCCTAGCACTAGTCACAAAAGGAACTCAAATATTTATCAACTTAACAAATGAATGGTTGATGCTGCAGCCAATCAGCTGGCTGTTATAACTTATAGACCATGCTTTGGGATTTTCTCCCTGAAAATAACACATTCATACAGTATCAGGTTACTTCTCTGAATCTCCTTACCCCTGCTGTCTCTCACTCACTGAGGTGGCTAGTGAGATAGCAAGCTGGGACAAAAAGGAAACCTGATTTTGAGATAGATGCTCTGACTAAGCAGACACAGCTGCCTCCTAGTGGAAGGTATCAAACCAGCTGTGCCTCCATTTCAGCACGCTGGCCTAATGCTATCGCTGCTTCTTTCTTCTTCCCAAGGCTAAGGTCTATGCCCACATGATGGACCATCTTTGAGGCTAGAGAAGTACAGATGGACAGAAACCCACCAACTTCTGCACAATGTCAGGAAGATTCCAGAGTCTCAGCTTTCATTGTCCCCAGGTTAAGACCTTCTGATTAAAGTCTTCTCCAGACATGCTCTTTAATGACCCTCTGTCCCCAAATGTGCTATCCCCTGTCTTCTAAACTCCTACAGTAGGTGGCCTAAATCATAATCCTTCAGTCCTCCTTCTTACTATCTTTAAAAATCTTAGCTGACCCAGGAGCCACACAACATATATGCAGTCAGAATTAGTGCACAGAGTCCTCTGTAAGCCACCTTCACCTCTAGTCACTGTGGAGAAACAGCCTCATGACAGAAGTCAGTGATCGTCCTCAAGCCAGGTACAGAGCCATAGCCAAACTCTGGCTTACCTAAGTGAATCCAAGAGACTGTCCCCAAACCTCTGAACTGTCTCCTGCTTTGATTTCCATGGCATCACATTGTTGAGACTGCCTCTTCCCCAAGACCTTCTTCTCGGCCTTCTTTGCTCACTTTTCTTCTTCTCCACTCTCTCACCTCTTTCCTCTCAAATCGGTATCTCCATTCCGAAACTACAAAATTTACATCTCAGTCTTTTCTGGGATAATTTGTAGATACCTCACTCATGTGTCAAAAACAAAGCTCTTCATTCTACCAACCAGCCCACCCTCCATCCCTCTCTTCCTATTCAGCTTTACTACCAATGTTTGGTTTCCATTCCACACCCTCCCACCCAGTGTCATCAAAGCCTCACCTGAAACCTTAATTCAATTTTCCATCTTTTGCTTGCTACCTACATACTATCCCAGGTTGTTAACACAGCCCTTTAAAGCAAACTAAATAAACTCTTCAGCAGTGATGGCAACCCGGCACTATCCCGAGTCATTTGAATGATTTATCTACTTTAATCTTTCCACGTTAAGAGCCTATTTCACTCCCTTGTCCTCTTTATGACAGCAGTAACTTTATTCTCTAGAGATGAATTAACCCAGGCAGGCCACACTGTGGTGGTATCGAGATCTGACGCCAGCACATCTAACATCAGAGCCCACTAAGGGCCTCCTCCCAGGCTCTTCAGTGCCTCCTTCCTTTAACAGGGCACCATCTTGTTAGTCCCTGGCTCACAGAGGAAGGATGCTAATTGGTTAGGTATTGCTGTATGAGCTTGTGCTGCATGATTGACACAGTGCCCTCATCTTAGACTTGTCGACCTGCTTGGACACCATTCTCTAGGAGACTGAACTCATTTCATTATCTACTCTGAGTTCAGCTGGTCACCCTGATTTCAGTGTCACCTGCATTTTCAGGAGAGAGTTATTCTCTTCAGCAGGCCCAGTCCTCCATAGGAGGGGTCAGAGACATCACATCTCTGTGTTCAAAACATTTAAAAACTTTTCCAACCTAGTGAATCTTATTGTCCACTATATCTTTATTTATTATTTATTTATTTATTTATTTATTTATTTATTTATTTATTTATTTGGTCTTTTTGAGACAGGGTCTCCCTGTAGCCCCAGCTGGCCTGGAACTCTTATGTAGATCAGGCTGGCCTTGAACACACAGAGATCCCCCTGCCTCTACCTCCCAAGTACTGGGATTAAAGGCATGCACCACCACACCCGGCCCTGTCCACTATATTTTAACAACCAGTCCTATACAGTCTACCCTCTCCCTTTTACCTGAAGTTCAGCCTCCATTGCCTGTTTCTTTATATTGTCCTTCTGAACTGAATAGTCTGCTCCATATCACTCATCTATGATTATATTATAACATATTGCTTTATATTTACATAACCAGACAATCACATGTCTTAGTATATTCTGTGCTACTATAACAAACTACTTGTGATTTGGAATTTATAAAGAACAGAAATTTATTTCTTATAGTTCTGGAAGATAAGGATTCCAAGGTTGAGGAGATTATATCTGGGTGAGGGCCTTCTTGCTACTTCATCCATAGTGGAAGGCAGAAGGGTGAGAGAGTGTGAGAGTGAGATCAAGAGAGAAGAAAGGAGAGGCAGAAGTGGAGCCGAACTTTTATCAGGCACATACTCCACAAAAGCTACTGCAATAACAGCATTGATCCATTCATGAGGGCAGAGCCTTTCTGACCACCTCTTAAAGGCCCTAACTCAACAGTGTTGCCTTGGGGAGGAGGTCAACACAAGAACTTTGGAGACACATTCTAGTCACAGTGGCATGCCAAATGGTAGCTTCCAGGACCAAAAGAAATCTTATTCCAGTCTCACTCTGAGAAGACACAACCAGCTTGCAACTTTTTGGGTGACATATCCATCTTACAAAAACTTTAGCCATTCTATCCCTCTCCATTCCCTGTTTATAACAACCTACTAGAGATGACTCATAATCTATTAAACAAATAACAAATACTCAGTAACTAGTGAGTATTTATTAACCCTTGATAATTATTTTTTTGCATTTTTGAGACAGGGTTTCCCTGTAGCCCCAGCTGGCCTGGAACTTGCTATGTAGTCCAGGCTAGCCTAGAACTCACAGAGATCTGCCTACCTCTGCCTCCCAAGTGCTGGGATTAAAGACGTGCATCACCACACCCTAACCCCTGATAATTTTTAATAGAAGAATGCAATACTTCAACGAGACCAAAGACAAATGATTTCAAGACCAGGAAATTATTGCTCTCATTTTGTGCATGAAGCAAGCAAAGATCTCTCCAACATCTTTCAAAGTAGAGTATTAAAACCCTCTGTACTGGTGTTGCATTTTGAACATTAGAGCTGGAGAGACACATGTAAGAGGATTGACCATCTCAAGCAATATCAAACAGTCATAGGACACTATACCATAGGCACCTCAACATTTGAAGTCTCACAGAAAGTTTAGAAAGAACTATCACTTTTCAGAGAATACTGTTTTTAACATTGCATCACTATATAAGCAGAGCTGTTTGTTTTCCGTACTTTATTTTCTCATATTGTCATCAATTAAAACTCTAACTTGCACTGGATATGGTGGCACATGCCTTTAATCCCAACAATCATGAGGTAGAGGCAGGTAGCGCTCTGTGAGATCAAGGTCAGCTTAGTCTATATAGCCAGTTCCAGGTCATCTGGGGCTACTGGGAGACCTTCTCTCAAAAAACAAAATAAATTTCAACTTGTTCTGGCAAACACTTTGTCCCTGACTATGTGCTAATTCCTAGCCTTTTATGTTCTGCCCCAAGTTAAGCACCCTCTTCTACCACAAAGCTCAGAATTCAAAGTGCAGCTCTCAGGGTTCTGACCGACCATTGTCACAAAATAAAATTATCATATTGTTCAAACTTGGGAGCATGTTCACAAAAGTTACATCAGGACTTTTATTTGGGGTATACTTATAATGTGGGTATAAGTTCATTATGTAAAAAGGGGACACATGATTCCTGAAAAATGTGACTCAAAGAATTCATAATCTAAGAGTTTATATAAACTATTTTTTGTCCTACAGTGACCAAAACTGATGAAGTAAAAATAATTATGGTGAAGCACTACAGAGTAGGTTTAGATGAAAAATATGAAGTAACAAAAAAGTGGTCTTTGAATGATCTACAGATGATTGATGGAAAAGAAGCAGATACGGTAAGTGTTAACATTGTGTAAAGGCAATGCAGAATCGATATGCTGGAGATCGTTATGTTCAATGCCCTACTTTATATATTCTTGGCATGTATGGAGTGTTAAGATGACATTATACTGTTCTCAAGTAGTATGGATTAATTTCCTGGGATGAGCTGCTGGCTTTTAAAAATTGCTTTTATGAGTTTGAATTTTGTCTATTAAATTTAAAAGCATCTTTCGTAAATTCTTCTTGACAGGTTAAACACAATCTGTCCAGTCAATCCTGCAACTTTCTTAGACATGACACCTTCCACTGCCACTCTTTCCCACCACCCCAATTTCTTCTGTTAGAAATTCCTCCCCTCTGATAGCAAGCCTTCAGTCAGCAAGCCCCCTTCACTCTCCAGTAGGACCATATTATTCAGAAGTCCTAGAGTTGAAAGAGAAGGAGTGGCTGTCCCTGTCTTCTCACTTGGCCCCTAGTTAAGTGCTGTTCCCAGTCTGTCCTTGAATTCTTCTGTTGATGGAAATCTCCCACCTTGAACGTGATATGTCCACAGCACTTTCCACTGAGAATGTGCTGAGAATGCCCAGTCACCCCAATCTCTTACCCTCTTCGAAGATTTCCCATTGAGTAAATCCTATTCATAACTGCCCTTCTTTATAACCAATTCATTATGGATGTGAATACATGGTTGATGGGTTATCCTAATCCCCTTTAATTTTTTTTAATTTTATGTTTATGAGTGTTTTGCCTACAGGTATGTAAGTGTGTCACATGCATACAAGGCCCAAGGAAGCCAGAAGAGGGCATCAGATTTCTTGGAACTGTAGTTATGCATTGTTAGCCACCATGTGGGTACTGGGAACCTAATTTGCATCTTTTGCAAGAGCAGCAAGTGCTGCTAACCACTGAGCCATCTCTCTAGTCCCTAGCCAATCACCTTTGGATGGAAAGCTCCTTAAAGATTGAGACCATGATGTTTTATTCTTTATCATAGACATCTGACTAAAATATATAAGGCACTCAATAAGTATTTGTGGAGTAATTGTCACATGAATAGGAACAAAATCATTTATTCTTAATCTGAATAAATATCATATTTTTAATTTATCCATTTGTTCTAACCTATTGAATGTTCTCATGTCTTGATGTTTCAATATCACTATGGTATGATACAGAGTTAAGGAATTCAATATTTAAGACTTGATCTGTCCTAGTTTGCTTTCTGTTGCCATAATAAAAACATTGATCAAAACCAACTAGGGGAGGAGAGGGTTTATTTGATTTACAAGGCCATCACTGAGGCTAGTCAGGTCAGAAGAGGCATTGGATCTCCTGGAAATGGAGTTACAGATGGTTGTTAGTCACATATGAGCGCGGAGAACCAAACCTGGGTCCTCTACAAAAGCAGACAGTGCTCTTAACTGCTGAGCCATCTCCCCAGCCCCAGAAATCTTATTCTTAAAACAATATGCTTGACAAGATTCTTGGCTAAAGAATGCTGGATATAGCATCACTTGGATGTCCTAAGTACTTAGAAAACATTTTTCTGAAAATGTATTTCACCTAAATGTTAGGGACTTAGAAATCAGTTACATATTATAGCATACCCACAAGTTAGAATAGTTTGCACTCAATACAAAATATAGTCCAATTGCTCACCAATTATAGAGTCTTAAAAATCAACTAACCACAAAACTTCCTAAAGTAATTGTCAACTTTATATACTTATGTTATTGTATATATGAAATAAAGCTTAATAATAATTACCCTTCATGATTGTGCTACAGATTATGAGTTATTTTCTTCATTATACTTTGTATGAATTACTAGATATTACACTGCATTGAATTTTATCAGAAATCCACAGAATGTTCACCAATCTATGGGTTAGGAATTAACCATCCTCACCCAAATTTTTGTCCATTTGTATTTTGGCTTATCTTTTTTCTTTTTTCCCCTCCTGTTTTCTTACATTTTTTTGTTTTTTTTATTATTATTTTTATTTTATGTGTATGTGTGTATAGCCTGCATGTAGGTAAGTGCACCCATGTCGTGCAATGCCCATGGAGGTCAGAAGAGGCTGTTGGATCCCCTGGGATGGGGGTTACAGAGAATTGTTAGCTGCCATGTGGGTGCTGGGATTCAAACCCGGGTCTTCTGCAAGAACAACCAGTGTTCTTAACCTCTGAGCCATCTCTCCAGCCCTGGAGTTCTTAATTTTTTAAATAATAAATTTATAAATAAAA